TGGTTATCAACGGACAGGGGCACCCCTGCGCCTGACTCACTGCAACCTGCCCATGTCGGTTCGTAACGGTGGTTGCCAATGAACAGGCGCACCTGCCTGCGCTTACTTTAATCCAAGTCGCCATGCGAATCTATGATTGCGATTGCCATCGAATAGAGCTACATTCTCTCCCGTAATAAATGGCTACCAGAGCTACAGACCAACTGGTCAGGTTACGTTACATTGCGTTGTATCTTGAACCTTAAATTCTTAAATTCTTAAATACCGTTTATTTGATAGGGACCAAAAGGAGATCGCGGTACTAGTCTATTTCCGCTTACGCCAAGAAAAGGGCAAATGGGTGACATAGGAATCGCAGGATTACCTGGTATGAGATATACGAATAATTCTAAAGTATAAAGACTTTGTCTAGAAATTTCTTAATAGAAGGACTGTTGATGTAGGTTTCCCAGGGTCAAAGGGAATGATGGGCGAGCCTGGAGAAGACGGTGTACCTGGACGACCAGGTGAACGAGGAATGATTGGCTTCCCAGGATCTCCAGGGCCAGATGGCAAAGATGGTCCTCCTGGTTATCCTGGCATTCCTGGTCCCGTTGGACGACAAGGGCTACCAGGTGAAGAATTGTTTTTTAATTAACAAAACATTATTGAACACATAATATTGTCTCTCTGCTATTGTTTCGGTACGTTATTCTGCCGTTCAGGATACCCTGGAGTTCCAGGAGCCCCAGCACCACCAGCACCAGGTGCACGAAACAGAGGATTCAACATAGCTCGACACTCGCAATCCGAAATGATACCTCAATGTCCGAAAAACACTGTCAAACTCTGGGACGGTTTCTCTTTGCTACATATAATGGGCAACGGACATCCTTTCGCACAAGATCTTGGTAAGAAAGACTACTTAACACTTCTTAATTAGAATGACCAACAACTCAGAAAATATTGTACATTTCAATTACTTTTCTCTCTGGTTATTTTAAATACGATAAAAGTGCAGATGCGCAATACTTTCTGAGAAACTTTAATATATTAAAACATAACTAGATCCTAATTTTTAATCGTAGTATCTTCTTCGGTCATATAGGAATAGTCAAGGGTTGAGAAATCATATTTGTACGGCCATATTTACTAAGATTAAAATGTTTATTCACAGAATTGTACAGGTTTAACATTGGTAGTTGTTTGAAATTACATTTGGATTGGAGTTGTAGCGAAATCATAAACACGGAAATTACGAATTTTATATTAATATTGACGTTCTTTCGCAGGCGCCCCCGGTAGTTGCGTCACCAGGTTCTCTACCATGCCCTTCATGTTCTGTAACATAAACAACGTATGTGATTACGCGCAACGCAACGACTACAGTTATTGGCTGAGTACCACGGAACCCATGCCAATGTCAATGACGCCCATACCGGCGCCAGAAGTAGGCAGATACATTTCCAGGTGTTCTGTCTGTGAAGCGCCAACTCGTGCAATCGCAGTGCACAGTCAATCCATGGCTATACCGGAATGTCCAGCTGGTTGGGATGAACTTTGGATCGGGTACAGCTTCCTCATGGTGAGCAGATCTCTTAACTATATCCAAATTCAGTACGATATAGACTACTAGGTTTATTTATCTCGCAAGCATGTGCTTTCCAGAGCACTTATCTGTAACATCGATAGCCAAATATTAGTGGCATTTTTCCTGAGCCTAGCTTCGCGTAACCCGCCGTGCCTGTCTGCAATTCTGGTTGCCTATAAAATGAGGCAATGGGTCCATCTTATATTTTCTCACACATTCTAACATTTACCTAACATCTCCTAACGCTTCCTAATACCTCATAGCACATGTCGACACCTCCTGAGACCTTCTAATACTTTCTGACATCTCCCAACACCTCCTGCCACACTCTGACATCTCCCAACACCTCCTGCCACACTCTGACACTTCCTAATACCTCCTAATACCTACTGTCACCTCCTGACATCCCCTGAGAAATCTTACCACTTCCTAACAATTCCTGACACCTTCCAACACCTCCTTAAACATCCTGACAACACCTAACAACAGTTCCCTTCATTTCTCTTTATTTCCTCACACGTTTCCCTTCAATTTTCTACTTTCCCGGGTACATCTCGTCCGCAGTTCATATCATCCGGTACGAAAGGTAAGTTTAGAGATAGAAATAAATTTTATGGATACTTCTTCGCATATCATGTTCTCCTCCTCCTGTTGCCAGGAGTAAAAATCCGGCATTTTCCATCACAATTTTGAGCGGGACGATTTGCAACATTGTTGAACTTGACCCTGCTCAAAATTCCCACATAGTTGCAGCTCAGAAGTTCGGCAAAATGTGACAAAATCCGAAAAATCGACTCGACATTTGCAACATTGTTGTAGTCCCGAGAGAAGCCATTTGCAACATTGTTGAACTTGCAACATTGTTGTAGTCCCGGGAGAAGCCATTTGCAACATTGTTGAACTTGACTCTGCTCAAAATTCCAACATAGTTGCAGCTCA